TCTCTCTCTGTCTTTCTGGCGAGCGCACACGCCCTATAGCAAAAACCTCTCCAAAAAAAGAAGCAAAAAAAAAAAAAAAAAAAATCACACTAGGCGCATGTGTGTGCATGCCCAAGGTCCAGGGAGGAGAATGGAGGAAAGGGGTTTGTGGCATGGCTGCTCCCCTCCACCAGGAGCGATTTCTTCCTCTCTCTCTCTCTCTCTCTCTCTCTCTCTGGCCAAAACCTAAAACAAACAAAATAAAACAAAACAAAACAAATCAAATCAAGGGGCCTGCAGGTGGCATGATGGTTAAGACTGTTGTATTCCCACATAGCCAACCATAGTTCAAGTCCTAGGCCTGATAGCTTGACAATCATGCCAGGCATATGTGTGTGTGACCAAGATCCCGAGAGGAGTATGGATGAAGGAGAAGAGATTGTAGCATGGCTTTCCCCCCAGATCGTGACATCTCACTTTCCCTCTCTGTTTCTGTCTCTCTCCTCTAAGCGTACACCTTATGGCAAAAACCTAAAAAAAAAAAAAAAAAAATCTTTCAAATAGTTCTCCCAAAATGCTGAAATATTATTTATTAAAGAATGTTTTCAAAAGTACTTACTCCACATGATATCAAAACACAAGAATATAAAAAATGTATAGGATCATTTTAGTAACTTAAAATGCCTGCCTTTTTTATTCAAAAGTTTATTTTCTTTATAGGTCTTTTACAAAACAGACTATTCCAAGAAATAGCTTATAATGAGGAAGCCAGAGGTATTCTTCAAATAACAGGAACTAACACACATTTAATTAAGCAAGCCACCACTTGACTTAGTACCCCCTTCCATGAAGAACTAAATCACTTAGTCACCTACCCTGTAAAACATAGATCTTCTCTTTGTACTCCACAGCATTATGAAATTCCATGGCAACGGGCATCGCACAAACAGTCGTCCAACAGTTCTCTCTGCTGTCATAGCACTCCACAGATTTGAGGGAGTTTCTCCCATCACCTTCATAAACACGACCTCCAATTGCATACATTTTACCACAGCAATACACCAGTTTGCAGCCTATTCTGGCTCGAAGCAAGGATGGTTTTGATAGCCATCTATTGGTGGAATGATCATACATCCAGAAATCATTTTCTGCCTTATGGTCAATGGAGACCTCACTGCTGCTTGGCCTATACCCTCCTGCAATATAAATATCATTATCTGGTGATACAAGAATCCCAACTTCTCTCAGGTCATTTGGTGGTTTGCATAGTTTGAATACTCTTCCTGTGACAATATCTAGACAAGGCACTGTTTGCTTCTTTCCTGAGTGTTTGTGGGCAGCATCAAAACATATGATCATTTCAGAAGCAGTCATTCCAAGCCTCTGTGTACAGCCATTGGTATTGGGTGGTCCCTTTTCTATACAGCTTTTGGCGATAGCCTGTGCAAACTGAGGTGGAATTTTCTCTATAAAGGTATCTTCCATCAGGGGAAAACGTATGCATTTGGCAAAAATTTCTGGAAGGTGCACTTCTCTTTCATTCTGTTCATGTTCAAACCACCTTATAATGCTTTCATAGACATGCTCTTCTCGGTCTACGTTTAAGTCATCACTGTCCAGTATACCTATTAATTGGTCTTTTGTCAACTGGAGAAACTCTTGTTCTTTGGTGACGCACAAAAACTTTTTACGAATGTATTCTTTTGATCGATCTCCAAGTTCCTGATGACCATAATGATCAGCAAAAATAAAGACCCCAATAGAATTCTGTGGGTCCAAATGACTGATCATATACTTAGCACACTGGTCTTGAATGGAAGGAATCTGGAAGATGCTTGCTGCAGTGAACAAGGCTTGAACATTGGCCTCTGTCAGAATAACTCTGGAGGTATAGGCGTAGTTCAACACTAAATCCATCGATTCAGCTTCAACACCGACTATCCGAACCTCTTTTTGAGTACTTTCTGTAAGGCCGCTAGTGAACATAGATCTGAGAAGGAAAGAATGGTTAATATTGTATGTGTGCTAGAAAAAAAAACAATCATGGCCAAGTTTTCAAAATATAAAGTTATCACAAAGATAAACTTTTGAAACTGAATGAATATTTCCTAATATATTCCTGATTTACTATAATTAACTTTTATCTTTTTTCAGGAGGATTTAGTCTGGCTAATCTCAAAAACCTTGTTCTCAGAGGTAGTCCATTTGCTGACAACTGCAGTAAAGGAGAGAATACCTAAGTAAAGCAACCAAAATGTGATGTGAAATATTCCAGGTCACCTTATCCTCTTTGGAGCCCTTGTCCAGACTTCTAATCAAATTCCCTTAGGAACATGAGATCTTAAATTGCCATGCCAGTCAGAAAAATTATGAACATCTAAAAGGGTAGCATATGTGACCATAAAAAAAGACAGTTAAATAAAACTTTTCAAGTCCTAGTGGAAGATACAAGGCAACTTATATCCAAAATTTCTCTTCAAAAATTTCATCTTAGAAAAGGAAGATGATCTTAGCCAGCAGGTGGCATGGTGGTTAAGGTGCTGTATTCCCACATGGTGAACTACAGTTCAAGTCCGGACCTGGCTTGAAAATCATGCCAGGCGTATGTGCATATGTCCCAAATCTCAGGAGGAGAATGAAGAAGGGATTGTAGCATGGCCATCTCCCCTAGGTAGTGATTGCTCACTTTCCCTCTCACTATCTCTTTATTTGTCTCTCTCTGGAGAGCTCACACATCCTATGGCAAAGAAAAAAAAGTTCTTCAGGACCAGCAGTTGGCATAATGGTTATGTCACTGGACTCCCATGTGGTCGACTGTGGTTCAAGTCCCGAACCCCGTGGCTTAAACTCACACCAGGCGCATGTGCGTGTTTGCCCAAGATACCGAGAAGAGAATGGAGAAGCAGCATGGTCATCCCCCCGGGGGGTGATTTCTTGATTTCTGTCTATTTATTTTCTTTCTGGTGAGCGTATGCACCCTATAACAAAAACCTCTAAAAAAATAATAAAAAAAGTTCTTCAAAAGCATCTTTCTACCTATTCCTTTTTAAAACTCTTTGAATGCTTCCTTACTCATTATAAAGAAAATAAATATCACTTCACTTACCCTTGGACATTTAAAAAGCCTTCACTTAAAAAGATATACTTCATTTTCTCAGTTAAAGTTACCATATTTTATGTATTTACATCTAGATATAAAATTATGGCACAATTAATATGTGTCTTCTGAAGAGAGTTTAACAGTTAACTGATTCTTTGGGAATGTTTTTTTGCTTGTTTTTTGAGAGGTTTTTCCTACAGGTCACGTGCGCTTGCCAGAAATACAGAGAGACAGAAAGTGAGAAATCACACACAGGGGGAATGGGCCACACCGCAATCCCTTCTCCTCTATTCTCCTCTCAGGATCTTGGCACACACGCACACGTGTCCAGTGTGAGTTTAAGCCACTGGGTCCAGGACTCGAACCACAGTCAACTACATGAGAGTCCAGCGACACAGCCATTGCTGTAACTGCTGGTCCTGGAATAATGACTTTTAAAATCCCAAAGTTTTGCTTTTGAGACCAAGCTTAAAAAAAAAAAAATCAGGGGACCAGCAGTTAGCGTAATGGCTATGTCGCTGGACTCCCACGTAGTCAACCGCGGTTCATGTCCCGGACCAGGTGGCTAAAAACTCACGCCAGGTGCGTGTGCGTGCGTGCCCAAGATCCCAAGAGGAGAATGGAGGAGAAGGGATTGCGGTATGGCCACCCCCCCTGGGGGGTGATTTCTCGCTTTCTGTCTCTCTGTCTCTATCTGTTGGTCTGGCAAGTGCACGCACCCTATAGCAAAAACCTCTCCCCCCCAAAAAAAATATCGGAAATACTCATGCACATTTAAGATTTTCTTGACCAAAAATTAAATAACCAAAAATCTGACTCTTTATTTAAGTATTAGTCATTTACAAACATTAGTTTTCTCCTTCTTTCTTCTTAGGGTTCATTCCAGGCTACTCTTAAAATTAAATATAAAAAATCCCATCAGCATCTCTTCTGTGGAAAGAATTTTGTTCCATTTAGCTTTGTTTTCAAGATCCCAGGTGCTTAATATGGAATAGATAGATGTATGCTAAAGAAACTGACCTAACATTGGTTGTAAATTCGATTATTCAAATCCAGATGCCTCCTACTTTATTTTTAAGTGCTATGTTATGAAAAATATCTTTAAATGGGAAGATTTCTAGTCATTTTTGATGCCTCCCTCAAATAAATTGAATTAATTTAAAAATGCCATATGAGAAATGTTGAAGGTGTGAGGACCCAACTTGGTGCCTGGGTTAATCATCCTATTTTTACTTCTAGGATGTAAATTTTAAGTTTGCTGTCACAGAGACATTTTATGATAACTGAAAACTAGAATATTCCTATGTATGAGCTGATTTTCAATTCAGGTGCTGAAATACTCACCTATACTATAGCTACCAATTAAAAAGAAAAATAGGATGTGATTTCTCGCTTTCTGTCTCTCTGTCTGTCTGTCTGTCTGGTGAGCACACGCGCCCTATAACAAAAACCTCTAAAAAAATAATAAAAAAAGTTCTTCAAAAGCATCTTTCTACCTATTCCTTTTTAAAACTCTTTGAATGCTTCCTTACTCATTATAAAGAAAATAAATATCACTTCACTTACCCTTGGACATTTAAAAAGCCTTCACTTAAAAAGATATACTTCATTTTCTCAGTTAAAGTTACCATATTTTATGTATTTACATCTAGATATAAAATTATGGCACAATTAATATGTGTCTTCTGAAGAGAGTTTAACAGTTAACTGATTCTTTGGGAATGTTTTTTTGCTTGTTTTTTGAGAGGTTTTTCCTACAGGTCACGTGCGCTTGCCAGAAATACAGAGAGACAGAAAGTGAGAAATCACACACAGGGGGAATGGCCACACCGCAATCCCTTCTCCTCTATTCTCCTCTCAGGATCTTGGCACACACGCACACGCGTCCAGTGTGAGTTTAAGCCACTGGGTCCAGGACTCGAACCACAGTCAACTACATGAGAGTCCAGCGACACAGCCATTGCTGTAACTGCTGGTCCTGGAATAATGACTTTTAAAATCCCAAAGTTTTGCTTTTGAGACCAAGCTTAAAAAAAAAAAAATCAGGGGACCAGCAGTTAGCGTAATGGCTATGTCGCTGGACTCCCACGTAGTCAACCGCGGTTCATGTCCCGGACCAGGTGGCTAAAAACTCACGCCAGGTGCGTGTGCGTGCGTGCCCAAGATCCCAAGAGGAGAATGGAGGAGAAGGGATTGCGGTATGGCCACCCCCCCTGGGGGGTGATTTCTCGCTTTCTGTCTCTCTGTCTCTATCTGTTGGTCTGGCAAGTGCACGCACCCTATAGCAAAAACCTCTCCCCCCCAAAAAAAATATCGGAAATACTCATGCACATTTAAGATTTTCTTGACCAAAAATTAAATAACCAAAAATCTGACTCTTTATTTAAGTATTAGTCATTTACAAACATTAGTTTTCTCCTTCTTTCTTCTTAGGGTTCATTCCAGGCTACTCTTAAAATTAAATATAAAAAATCCCATCAGCATCTCTTCTGTGGAAAGAATTTTGTTCCATTTAGCTTTGTTTTCAAGATCCCAGGTGCTTAATATGGAATAGATAGATGTATGCTGAAGAAACTGACCTAACATTGGTTGTAAATTCGATTATTCAAATCCAGATGCCTCCTACTTTATTTTTAAGTGCTATGTTATGAAAAATATCTTTAAATGGGAAGATTTCTAGTCATTTTTGATGCCTCCCTCAAATAAATTGAATTAATTTAAAAATGCCATATGAGAAATGTTGAAGGTGTGAGGACCCAACTTGGTGCCTGGGTTAATCATCCTATTTTTACTTCTAGGATGTAAATTTTAAGTTTGCTGTCACAGAGACATTTTATGATAACTGAAAACTAGAATATTCCTATGTATGAGCTGATTTTCAATTCAGGTGCTGAAATACTCACCTATACTATAGCTACCAATTAAAAAGAAAAATAAAGGCCTTCATTAAGTAGAGATTAATTCCCAGAGGAGAACATTACCACATACCCCTTTATCATGGGAACCACTCCTGACTTGAATAGACTGGTCTCACACACAGAAGTGGCCTGACATTTGATTAATTCTCATCTAACAGGTTCTTCAAGTAAATTCATATAATAAAGTAGGAGCACTTCCTCACACAAAACCCTGAGTAGCAAAAAAAACTTCTAACAATCATACCCAGTTTAATTCTGACAGGTCACTAGGACCATGAAACAGCTATGCTAGACTTCCATTTATTCCAATTCTTCCACCAGTGATGCAAGACTTAGAAATTATTAAGTAACGACTTTCTAGATCCCATTTAAGGAATAACATTGGTGCCAAAGAAACTCCTATACAAAAAAACCTCTCACAAGAAGTACAAACCTAAGTTTTCTAGCCAAATATCTTTGAGTGTACATTTCTGATTTTTCCAAGCATTTTTCTAACTTCTTGGAAATTAAGAAAGTCTATTAAAGCACATACAGGTTTTAAAAGGATTTGTCTAGGTTTTCAAAACTAATTTTAATTAAATATGGCATTTAAATTATATACTCCATAGCATATATTTAAATAAGATACGGACATTTTCACTTTAAAGTCTCAATTTTTTTAATTTTATTTTTTATATTCAAATCTAATATATGATAAAAATGTTTGAAATGAACCTTTAAAGAGGACCCACTCTCACTCCTCAAGTCATATAGTGAATAGGAAACCTGGATGATTCCTGTAGGTCACATAACCTCACTGACTCATGGTTTCTTCATACTTAAAATGGGAATAATAACTGTGCAGAGATAGGATTATAAGAATTATATAAGGCAATATATGTAAAGTAAGCACAGCCCAGAGCATGATAAGTAGTATTTGTGACGTATTTAAATAACCACATCTAACAGCCTGAGTAAGTGAATCTCATCATGAGCTTCCATTACCTGGCCAAACTTCCTGTCTTCTGTATATGTGAGTTTCATTTTTTTTTCCTTTCCAGCTTACTGTCTGATGATGATTAATACTTAGTAGTCCAATGACCTACCCTAAGCAAGTCTAAATGATTACATCACAAGCATCAGAGTGATGTAACTATATTTAACCCAGTATTCTGAGAAAGAGGAACCAGAAACTACTGTCTGGAACAGTACACTGCCATGTGCCCTATAAAGGTAAGTACCATCCTACGGAAAAGCACATGTAGAGTATGGCTGAGAAGATGATTTTACTGTCATTCATGCCCCACTTTTGAATATTGAAAGACTTTAAAAAGTGAGCACGCAAAGCGGGTTGACAAATCCAATGATTAAGGCGCTAGACTTCCACATGGCCAACTGTGGTTAGAGTACTGGACACTTTTCCTTTCTCTCTCTGTCTCTCTATAGTAAAATTTTAAAATAAATAATAATAACACATAAAATTAAATATAATAAATTTTTTTAAAAAGGAGCACTGGAAACAAAAGAGGCTAAACTCAGACAAGAAACTGTATTTTCCACTCATCTTAAAGAAGGAAATTATTTTTCAGATATGATTTTTAAATTTTACTTCTCAACATTTCATGATGAACAGATTTATAAACAAATTCTTTCAATTAAAAGTTAGCTTCTTATCAATGATTCTGGAAATCATGGGGGGGGAAATCACCAGTTTGTGGCCTAAGGCAAATAGAAACTATATTTCATTCAGTTATATTTCACTGCTTTTACCACCATAGCATTAAAACAATCTACTGAATGGTAATTTATTTTAAAAGAACAGACACTACTATGTCTTAAACTGTAAAACAGTTAAATGCACTAAAGAAATATCACAGATAACTTTTTGGGACTATCCAATGAAACTTTCAATAGCACTTGAAATAAGTTTTGTATACCTAAGAACTAGATTTTATTATTTATTTCATTTTAAACAATTTAAATAGCCACATGTGTCTAGTGTCTGCCATATTGGGTAGCACAAGTCTACATTTTCTTTTCATTTACCTCAAACAAACATAGGTTCACGAACTTTAAAACCAACCAGCTGAACTCTAGAAGAATCCCTCAATTCAAACACGAGGTTTAATAGGTAGGGCCCGTTATCTAGTCTCATGAACTCATCAATTTCATTTCATAGTGATATCTCAGAGTAACAATCGAGTGAACAATACTGGGGGCTCGGGGGTGGGGTAGGGAAGAGTTCGGTGCAGATACCAATCGAAGTTTCCACCATCACCATACCTGAAGTAAGGACTGATTGCAGCAAGAACGTTTCTATGACAGGAAAATGTTTTCCCGTGATCCACTTCCACTACAATGTCTGTCAACTGTCCTTCATCGTACATTGTTTTGAGTTGCTTAAGAATACTGCAAGCATGGAAGGGGTCCATGGCATCGTTGGCTGTTTCTGAAGATGGAATCCCATTCGGTGTTGGGGAAGACTTACTTAAATCTAGGAGGAGAAAAATTGTACAACCACAAGGAGTTCTGAGCCAGTTACGGCGTCGCGGGGGTTTTTGTTTGCTTGGCTTCTTTCCACCTACAAAAATACATCTATACACACACACACACACACACACACACATACACACGCACACACACACACCACCTCCTGAGACCTCCAGTATAGGATCTGGGGAAGAAAGAGCCGAAAACAAGTTCCAAGGCCAGCCTGCTCCTCCGGGAGCCCGGCGAGCTCGATGCCCCATGCTCGCGGAGGGAACGTGCGAACAGCGCAGGCGAGGTGTCGCCGGGGACTCCGCCGGGAGCCGGCACCTCCCAGCCGAGAGCGGAGAGCACGAGCTCACAAGGGAAGGTCGATGGATGGTGGCCGCCGGTGCCCCCTCAACCGCCTGCCGAACGCTCCGAGGGGCGGCGGGTACCCAGCCTCCCATCACTGTCCAGCCGGACCGCCCACCGTCCTCCACGCCATTCATCCTCCCTCGCCTCAGCCCCCGTCCACTTCTCCATCCTTCTCTCCGGTTCCTCGTCGCTATCTCCTTAGCTCGCAGCTTGCGCCTGGCCCCGGCTCACCTCCCTTCCCACTCCCTAGCCGCCACCCGCCCCACCTGCCGACGCGGCCATTTCTCAAAGGGGCCCCGGCTCCAGCTATTTAAAGAGGAAATGTCATTTCGCTTCTCCAGCTCCCGGGTTCCGGCTCTTCTAAGCTCTCCCTAGCCAATGGGGTGGCCTATGCATCCGGCTCCGCCCCCAGATCCGAAATTCCTGACTGTGATTGGCCACGACTCAGGTACCTGCGCGCCGGGAAATGTAGTTTTATAACTCCTGCTCCCGCGTGGTCTGGGTCTGGAGGAGGCCCAAGTCCGGGGTTCCTATTGGCTGGTTCCGAAGAGGTGGAGCGCAGGGAGCCGGCCAGCCTGTGTCCTTGAAGAGCGCAGTGCCTGCCGGGAGAGGTAGTCTTTTGGCTGAGGAGAGCTGTCATTCCTGTGAGGCTGAGGTAGGGCA